TGTACCGCTCCCTCCCCACCGGTAAGCATGCCCCAGCAAAGTCCTATCCTTTCCTCTTCCCCTCTATTAGCAAGATGGAATTGTGAACACGCTGTGTCCAACAGGGCCTGTGCGAGGTGACTGTGGAGCAGCGGGGAGCCCAGCAACATCAAAAAACCCTTGGGGAAAGTAGAATTAATCCCTTCAGCAGCTGACCCCAGGGCTTCTGCTGCCAGTGACTGTGGATGATCATCAATTTTGCTCAAACAAAATTAGGTAGCTCCTCCTCCTAGGTGGAGTCTCTGAAGCCAGCAAACTCTTGGTCTAGCAGCTGGCAAGTCATGTGTTTTCTTTGCCACAGTATGAGGCAGTATTAAGAGACAGACATGTTTGGTTTCTGAGCAGCCCCTGGGATTTTCTTCCAGGGGATGTGGGTGCTACCAGCTCATAGGCAAAGCTGCATTTGGGCCACATGTTCGCTGAACAGTGAGGGCAATTAGGGATCAAAAGAACTGGGGTGGCTTCCCACAGTCACATTTCCCTGCTGCCATTCTGGAGGTGATAATATAATTCATATCAGAAGAGTTAGTGGGCTGAAAATGAATTGGAGAAATCAATCCAGAGGGTATAAATGAATTAGCATGTAAATGAGGACACTTGCTCTACATAGTTTAATATTGCCTGCAGCTGTAAATAATTCCAGGGATGGAATCAAAAGCCGCAAACAACTTCATTTTTGTGCTCCTCCCCCCATTCGGGAGCACCTGCAGCTACGACCGACGGCTGTGCCCCTTGCAGGAATGTTGCGTTGCAGAAGGATTAGAGGAGGGTGTTTTTTGGGTTTTTTTCCTGATTGCACATTATTTACAAGGCTGCCTGCTCGCTGTTTCTTGCATTGACACGTTGTGCGCATGCATGCTGTGGCTGCAGCAGCTGGAACGGCTGGTAAAGGGGGGAAGGGCTCAGAGCAGCATTGGGTAGTGGGGGGGTGTGAAATACTTGCCCACATCCTACCCAGTGTGCAGGTGCTTGAGGTGAGGCAGGAGAGACTGCTTTTTTGCCCTGCCACCATTTCAAAGGGAAAGGTGGCGGTTACCTACACAGCAAAGCATTAAGGCCTTGAATCAGCTCCCTATTGTAATTCAGCAAAGCACATAAGGACATCGTTTGGCCCTTGTACTGAGTTGAGGTCAAAGAAAGGTGCAGGGAGCACTTGGGAAGAAGGGGCAATGCTCAGTGTCCCTGACAGGCCTCAGGGGGCAAGAATGGGGCAGAAGGGTCCTGCGTGCACATGTGCGGTAACTTGATAGAGGCTACCCCTGGCGAGTGGGGCAGAGCAGGGGAACAACAGAAGGCAAGATGGTAAGAGAGCTTTTGACTTGAGGTTATCTCTAGTCCCAGGTGTTGGGAATGAGACAGGAGTTGTATGGACCACACCACATCCAGCAAGATAGAGGAAGAAGGGATGATAGCAGGGATTAGAGCTTCTCCTGACCAAAAGGGGACTGGGGACAGGGTTCTGATGGACGCACACATCTCTTGGGGAGTCTGCAGTGAGACCGTGGGTTTTCCATGGGTCGGAAGGGACCTGGCAGATCATCGGGTCCGACTCCCTGCTCCAGGCAGCAAAAAGCACTGGGGTTAAGTAACCCCAGCCAGATGCCTATCCAATCTCTTCTTGAATACCTCCAAGGTAGGGGAAAGCACCACCTCCCTTGGAAGCCCGTTCCATATTTTGGCATGCCTCACCGTAAAGAATTTCTTCCTTATGTCCAATCTAAATCTATTCTCCTTCAGTTTGTGGCCATTATTTCTGGTAACCCCAAGGGGTGCCCTGGTAAACAGAGTGCCCCCTATTCCCTGCTGGCCCCCCTGATGAGTTTGTAGACAGCCACAAGATCGCCTCTCAGCCTTCTCGTTTAACTTCTGCTGTCTCTTGTTTTCAGCCAGCTTTGTAACACACCAGCACGTTCTTTAAACCCAGGTTTTTACCACTGCTTCACCTCACTGTTTCCATGGTTGACAAAGGAACTGCATACTGCTAATCCAGGCCTTAATGGTACATCATGTCCCACTGATGCTAGTGGTGCAGAAACACCCAGATGATGCTCTTCAAGAATCTCTGGTTAGATATAGTGGTAACAGCCTCGTTGCCCCACTGCTGATGCAACAGGCTCAGTTTTCTTACCACCGTGGGAGGTTGTTACCTTGAGATATATCTATCACACAGGACAAAATGAGGAGATTTTGTGGGTGGTCTGAACCCAGAACTGAAGCTCCTATTCTTTGCACCATAGCTCACAGCGATACCAAAATCCTGATCGAGATTAGCTCTTCATTGTTACCAAAGCACTTCAAACCCTTGTGCTGTGTCCTGTTCAAACACAACGGGAGTCCTCGGAGCGCAGAGCTGAGATGGTCAAAACGGGCCCAGGGGAAACAGACCCCGAGAAACAAAGTGACTTGGCCGCACTCGCATGGTGGGTGAATGGCAGAGCCAAGAATGGGAGTCCGGCCTCCTGACAGCCAAGCAAGGGCTCTGTCTACTGGACCATAATACACCTCCGTCAGAGGAGATGTCTGTAATCCAATTGCCCTCCTGTCCTGCAATGCCAGAAATCTCAAGGGAGACTGGCTGTGGAGTCCTTTTATTATCACTCCCTCTAGAAAGAAAACCTGGGAAGAACCTGGAGTTGTAGCCCACTTACCATGCAGTGGCCTGTAGAGCACCAGACGCTCCCAGAGAGAGAACTGGGTGTGGGATTTTTGTTCCAGGATGTGCTGATCAACCAGAGGATGACTGCGAGCCAGCATGGGCGAGGCACGTGTAGGAAAGATAAGCAGGATCCTTGGAAAGACCAGGAGAAAGATTTTCGTTTGAGATAAGAAAGTCCGAGTGCTGCTGTACAAGGCTCTAGGGAGACCTCAGCTGCAATTCTCTGTGCAATTGTGGTCACCTGGGCTCAGGAAAGAGGAGCTGAGGTTGGAACAGGTGCAGAGAAGGATGACTGGGGAAAGGAGGCTCTTTTATGAGAGGAGACTGAGTGGGCTTGGCTTGTTTAGTCCAGCACAATGAAGGCTGGGAGGGGATACAATTGCTGCCTCTAAATGCATCAGGGGGGTAAGCGCCGGGGAGGGAGAAGAGCTACTTTAAGCTAAAGAACAATGTTGACATGAGAACAAGTGGCGATAAACGGGCCATGATTAAATTGACGCTGGAAATGAGATGGAAGTTTCTTACCGCCAGAGGAATGCAGGTCTGGAGCGGCGGGAGAACTGAAGCCTAACTACTTCTAAAATGGAGCTTGATCAGTTTTGAAAGGGAATAAACAGCGTGGGCGCTCGTGATAGCGGGAGGCTGGACTTTGACCTTGGAGGCCGCTTTGGGTGCTACAGGGCACCAGAAGAGCCCATGGTGGGACGAGCTTGGTCCCTTCTACTCAATTAGAGCCTTGGCCCCTAAGCATCCTGTCTCCTCTTGGGGAGACGGCCTGGGGCTGGATTTCCTTGGGTGGCTCGGAGCACTTCTGCTGTGAAGTCTTTGCACCGGCGCCGATGACAAGGGCCTCCGCACTCCGTTATCAGCCGCTCCCTCTCGTTTTTGACACTGACGAATCGTTGAGTTCCCTCTTTCATCAGGTTGGAGTTTCAGGTTCGGCACTAACTAGATCTCCCAGGTGGACTGGAAACACTGATTAAGACGGATAGAGTGAAAGCAAGTCCATTAAATTGTTAATAAAGAATATTACACACATACCTTAATCTGCAGCTAGCCTGACACTTTATAAAAGTACATTAGGATGTAATCCAATTGAAGCCACAATATCGAGAACATCTTATCTCATCACAAATTGAAATTATATCATATTCCTCATTTCTTAAATTAAAAAGCTAAAACCTTTTAGTTTGCTCTCATATGCTTGTGTAAAACTTAATCAGTGGTTTTAACAACATTATTTTTCAATATGGGCCATTTCTGCTCTCATTTATTTACAAGAGAGAACTTCCTGGTAGGAGAAGTGATTCAATTTGCAGGAGGATACATCAAGCACTTAAGGATTTTGCACGGATTGATTGATTATTTATCGTGTTATCTTGCCTGGAGACGTCTGATATGGCTGTGCTCTTGCTATCTCTCATTCCACCTAATGCTCTTCCCTTTCGTCTTTTTCCCTTCCAGTGCTTACGGCCTCCTCTGTGTGTGCGTGTGCGTGTACTGGAAGAGAAGGGGGTCAGGAAACCCAGGGCTTTTGGTGCCTCTGCTGGGATGAGGGCATTGGAAAGGAATGAGGTGAGATATTTTTTTAGCTGGGAGAGGCTGAGGGGGTTGGGGAGGGGGAAAGATGACTTGAGTTTCCACTAGAGTTATCCAGCGCAGTTCTGCTAATACGTTGCGTTTCTCTCTTGGGTATTTTTATTCATAGATCTGCCAGCACCTCACAAAGGCCTCTGCTTACAGAATGGGAAACTGAGGGACGGAAAGGCCAGGTGATTGCCTTTCTTCCTGGGCTTTCCAGCAATCAGGCCTCTGAACTGGCAGCCCTGTGCTCAGTTGACTAGATTATTGCAGCCCCTCAGTTCTGCAAGCGTCTTTGCACTGCTCACTAATGTGCCACGGTCCTAGAGAAGAGGGGAGCCTCTAGGGCTGAGTGTGCAGTTGTCTCCCCCTTGGAAGGAAAACAGCTATAGGGAAATTCCAGGGTTTTAACAAGGGGTCTCACAAAGTTTTCCTCTGGAGCCGGGGATAAGCCCTGTGTCCCAGAGGCTCCTGAGCTTGCAGAGAAGGGAGAGTGACTGTAAAGTCCATTCCCACTTGAAACGAAGCTCCATCTCACAAAAATAGCCCTACGGGACAGCAGGGCTCTTCGTCCAACCCACCATGTTGGTAGGTGTTGGACCCCTGCTGAAAGATGCTAATTGGTTTCCACTGTCTTACTGTGGCAGGTGTAGTTCGTTAACTCCATGCTGCAGGAAAGCACTTAATGATTAGATGGAAGATAAGGTGCACCAGGAAACTAGGGCATGAGGCTGAGAATTGTTGAGGGAGAAGACCCTGGGATCACCTACTTCTTGGGAGAAGGCTCAACCTGAAGTACGTGGTAACTTAAGACCTTTATATCCCAGGAAGGGGCTGGTTTGGGCCTTCAGTGGATTCTGTTGTCTAAGGATGGAGGTGGCTTCACTGAACTTTCTTAGATCTTGGCCCTTGTCCTGTCCCTCAGATTTTGGAGAGAGTTTGCTGGTCTGGCAGTGCAAGAAACACCCCTTTACCTTAGAGACTGGTCACGTTTGCTGTGCAGCCCCTGAGTGACTGTCTATAACCGACTGAGCCCTAATCTTCTAGAGCCATGTTACAGTCCCAGAAGTCTGGCCCAGTGCTGCTTGGCACAAACGTGTTACAAGGTAGAAGCATAATCTTAAGGTTACAGCATTACATGGGGGCTTTGGAGATGCACATTCAGTCTGTCCCCGTGCTGTAGTCTACCTGTGTGGGCAAATCATGTAATCTCTGCACCTGAGCTCCCACTTGTAAAATGAAGATGAAAACCCTTCCCTTCTCCCACTCTCTTCCTGTCCTGTCTTCTTTGGTTTTCCGTGCATGAGGGTTCTCTCTCGATGTGTTTGCATAGTACCTACAACCCCAGAGACTCCCACAATTCAAATATTCAGTAAAAAAAGGGTATTGAAACAGAGCGTGGGACTGCAAGCAGGGATGCCTTTAATTTATTCTTTGTACTGCGGATGACTTGCTGTGGGACTTTAGGGAAAATCTCTGTGCCTCAGTTTACAAATCTGTAAAATGGAGATCATGCTGTTTAGCCTCATTGGGGTTATTCTCATAGGCCTTTTTGCTAGACAGTATCATAAACTGTGGGTGTGTCTGCACATACATTTATGCTGGCTTAAATTTACTGCGTAGTAAGTGGGAATAGGTTGGTATCTACACGTGCAGGCGTTAAAGCGCATTAATGCCATGTGCAGACTGACTTGGGACTAAGTTAGTCCCAAGTCAGTCCACACATGCAGTGTTACTGCAGTGCACAGTAAGGTGTCTACATGTGCACTACTGTGCAGTAACTAACTGGGTGTAAATTTGATATCTTCATGATGCAGGTATCAAATTTACGCTCAAGCTAGCGTAAGTTGCCATATTTACTGCACAGTATGGGTGTGCATATGTAGACGTGTGCCCATACTGCGCAGTAATTTCAGTTACTGTGCAGTAAATGCTCACATGTAGACATGCCCTGGAAGTGGGGGGAAGGGAGTACGTGAGCCCAGCCTTAAAATATCCTGTGGCTTAAAATTCATAAACCTTTAAAAATAATACTTTTGGGGTTCTTTTTTATTTTTAATTGGTTTCTGAGCCTCTAAGCTTCCTTCTTCCCTGAAATGAGAAAGATTACATATAATCCCATGACTCCAAGAGCTGGGGTGTAAAAACCCATCAAATAGCCAGTGACTCGAGAAAATTCTGAATGTTGGCCACAGTAGATGTAGGGTACTCAGCTGCTATGGGGACAGACACCTCCCAGGGGAGGTGCAAGGTCTTATGCTCATGCTTGTTTACAAGGTGGGACCAGTTTCTGTGCAAGATGAAGTATGTGTAGGCATTTTTGCAGAATTGGGGTCAACATCTGTAGAGTATTTGGGATGCTTGGATGATGGAAGTGCAAAGAAGTATTTTATGGTGATTGCTCTCATGATTAGCGTTAGGGCTGTTCTGTTGCTTTTGTTCACATGAAAGTATAAACCCACTTTTTCATGTTGGTTTTAGTCACAATAAATAGAAATGCAGGAGTTGGAGAAAAAAAAAAGAAAAAGCTAATGAAGGAAAGCAGTCCCAATGCAATTTGTTACATGTCGAGTATGCCTCTGACTGCTGGCTTTCAAGGTATTTATAAAGAGTATTTAGCCTACCCAGTGCACAGCCTCTGGAGTACAGACTTCTGCTTTGGTCCATGCTTGGTTGAGCCTTTATAGCAGCTTCGTGGTTTTTCGACATAGAGTTGCATCAGAAGCTTTGATTTTTGTAGGCTGCCAACTGCACCGAGTGGGGATGAGACGATTAATCAAATTATTTGAATGGAATTCAACAGAATTGGGAAGTGACCAGTCTTCCTCCTAATCTTCCAATTGAGATGTCAAGGAGGGCTCCAGCACTGAGCGCAGAGCGGAGGCAGAACGTGTAACTAAATCTCAGGCAGTTGCAATGTGGCTGGGCAATGAGCAGCTGGACAGACTGCTAGAGGTCGGGGATTCTGATCAGGAACAGTAACCCTCTGGGGCCAGATGTGACGGTGCTGTCCTGGTCCCTTTGCACTGCTCAGGGTTTTCCCAGCGTGGGGGAATCCCGAGCTGGCACAGCTGGCAGCATGCTGCTGCCAACAGTTGAGGGAGGAGTGTGAGTGCTTGGATAGTTCCCCAAGAGCAGTCATGATACGGGGGAAGCACAATGGTGGTGCAGAGCTCCTCTGCATCCCGGCTCTGTGTGGGAAGAGCTCAGCCCAGCCTGAGGATCAGGACTGCACCCTCTGGTTTGTGGCGTTGCTTGAAGTGAGGCTGTTCACAAGCACCAACCTTGTGAATGTCCCTATTGTTTTATCCTCATTATTAACAAAGCCCAGGAGGAAGGCACTGGACAAGTCTGAAGGTCAAAAGCCTGATTCTGAACTCTTTTCCACAAGGCTTTGGAGGTGTCCTTCCTGTGTAGGATGAGAACTGAGCCCACACACCTTGCCTCAGATACAGTATGCTGATTTATAAGGCGGGTGGAAAGCCAGTGACTGGGCAGAGGCATTTAGACAGCCATGGGTGGGGCCCTACACTCTACTTTGGAGGGCATAGGAAGGCAAGCATCTGTTGGCCAGTTTGGGGGTGCCAATAGCAGAACTCTTTGAGAATGGCTGCTGGGAGCCCATTTTTTCCCTTTCCCTGCCTAGGGCGATGCCATTTAGATGCTGCCTGGACTGGCCAAAGAGATCCTTGGAGAAGCTGCTTTTGCCCTGCCTCCATGTCTGGAACAAAGGTCTTTA